AACCGTCAGCCGACTACAAGTTGGAGTATAGCAGCCGTCGCGGAAAGAAGATCCGGACGTGTGTGTAATTGTGTAATTGGGAGCGTGTGATACAGTGATACCTAGCTCCCCTACTGTCAACGTGTAGACTACTGAAGGCAGAGCGAACTGATTTGCGCATAGGGTTATAAAGTGTGAAACCCCGCAACAGTGTTAACAGATTAATGCGATTAGGGTTATAAAGTGTGAAACCCCGCAACTGAGTGATAATTAAGTGTAGCCGTTATTTGTAGATTGTTAAATAAACCAATTAACCATCTCTACGGCCTATTCGGTAACGCAAAACACGTTACAATATTTACAGCTGCATGGAATGAAAATCTACCAAAATTCAATCTTATGCCATGTAAGCCCAGCACAGGGTTAAAGTGAATTTCACTGTCAGATTACAAACTTACATTATCTAATATGACACTAACAACAGTAGATTTCTAGGGCTAGGAAAGTAAGTTTCATGTGTTCTACCCCGAACTTCCTGCACTCTCCCATTTGTCACCATTTTACTTCACATACATTTGAAACTCTGGACAATCATTTTTATTTCATGATAACATTCAATATTTTCTGTCTCTCCTGTCCTCTGGATTACTTTCATGAATATATTTTTATCCAAAAACCTCAGACAGCATAAAACCATATGAAATTTTGCCTCTAAAGTACTTCATCCCAGTGCTCATACGTTGTCACCTGCACAAACCTTCTGTTAGTTGAATATCATTCATTATCATTCCCTAATTAACACCTCAAAAAGTCTGATATCATTAAGATTTTATTCCATTTATGACCATGCTGTTTTCACATTTGTAATAGACATATTTATTCTATCCATTAGTCCTATGGAAAGATTTAATCTTTGTAAAATTTCATAAATTTCCTGTCTATTTATATTATAACATGGCTTTTCAATATCAACAAAAGTCAAACATGTGGCTGTGTCAAATTTGCATCTTTTTTCCATTATCTGCCTGACATGGAAGTGGGGCACATGGTAGCACATGGTTGAGGCACTATGCTGGGTTCAATTCCAAATGAGGTCATTGGATTTTTCAACTGATCTAATCCTTCCAGTCACACTCTGACCCTGATGTCAACTCAGCCTCAAACAGAAATGAGTACCAGGAATCTTCATGGGGGTAAACAGCGGCTGGCACATAAGGCTGACAACCTCACTGCCAACTGCGAGCCAACTGTTACAAAATGTGGGAGTGTCAATGTCTCACAACCCCATGGGCCTCCACAGTCTGTTACAGGGACACCTTTACTTTTTTCTTTTTGCCTGGCTGTGAAAATTAAATTAGAATTAAACTAATAATGTTAGAATTAAAACTTGTCAACATACCTGTTGTTCATAAGAATGTTGCTGCACTTAATGTCCCGGTGTAGGAAGTTTTTCTTGTGACAATAGTTCAGCCCATCAAGTAATTGTCTCATTATTGATGCATTGTGTGCTTCATTGAAATCTACCATACCTGACTCCAGAAGTCCCATTAAATCATGGTCCATGTATTCAAATACCAAGTAGAAAGATCCTTTGTCCTGAAATATATAATTGCATAGCTTGAAACAACAACTGTTATATGGAAGCAGAACTCATTAATTAAGTGATTAATTAATTTAACAAAACTTCCATGAAATATCATTTACTTCCACTGTTCAGTTTCTGTTCAATTTCCCCTCAATGTTTAGATTGTATTCCTAAGTAGGTCTGTTTAAACAAAAATTTAAACTCTTGATAAACCTCATGTGAATCTTATCAGGTTCATCTAAAGCTGAAAGGCTGGACATTGCCTCTCTCCATACATGTGTATGCATACACAAGAATCAAAATCTCTAAGAATCTATCTCTGTGTTAAACTTCCTCCATTCAAAGTGTTCTTTCATTTAGTGTTCAAATTCATTGTTCCCAAGAAAACCTTCAATGCAAACTTTTGCATAAATGGAACTTCTTTAATATCAATCATGCCCAATATTTCTAATTATGTATGATTAATAAGTTGATGGGCAGGCAGACAGATTATAGATACATGAGATTCAGTACAAATGTTCCAAACATCGTGGACCACAGGAAAGTTCCTGGACTGGGTCAAATAAGAAATGCTGGCTTCACTTACTAAATTTTGGTTCCCATTTTCTTCAAAATAGTCTCCTTGGGAATGTATAGAGCAATCCCATCTTTTTCCACGCGTCAAAAGCACCATGGAAGTAATTTTCCTTAATGCTGTCGAGTACTGCTTGTAATTCCCTTTGGATGTCAGACACTGTTTCAAAACGTCCCTTCAGTTTCATTTTCAATTTGGGAAACAAAGCAAAATCACAGGGGGCTAAGTCCAGTCAGTAGAGAGGATGGGGAACAATAACCCCGTTGTTGTTAGTAACAAACTCTGTGGTTTTCAGGGACATGCCAGCTGACACGTCATGATGGAGTCAGTTGTGGCTGTGCCAAAGTTCCGGTCTTTCTTATTGCATATTTTCTCTCAAGCAGCTCAAAATGTCACAGTATGAGTAAAAGTCAGAGTTGATCATAGTGATAGGAGGAACAAATTCACAGTGAACAATTCCCTAAACATAAAAAAAAAGGCATGCTCTTTGTTGAACTCCGGACCTGCTGCACCTTTTTTGATCTTGGCGATTCTGGGTTCTTCCACTGTGACAACTGTTAATTGGTTTCTCGATCATAACCATAAATCCAACTTCAGTCACCTGTTACTATCCTACATATAAACGTTGGGTCCTCGTTAGCTTTCTTTCATAGGTCAAGACACACATTTATGCGCCACTGCTTTTGATCATTAGTCAAGAGCTGGGTAACAAATTTTGCGGCAATGTGGCACATGTTCAAATTTTCTGTTAAGATCTACTGGCAAACTCCATAACTAATCTCAATGGTGTCTGCAAGCTCATGGATTGTTTGGCAATGGTCTTCATGGATGAGTTCTCAAATTTTTTCAACATTTTCTGTCGTTTTGTTGGTGCTTGGTCGCCCTGAACATTCCTCATCTTCAACTGACACTCAACTGGACTTGAAACGTGAATGCCATTTAAAAACCGCTGTCCAGCTTAAAGAATGTTCTCCAAAAGCCTCATGAAGTATTTCAAGGGTTTCTGTAATAGATTTACCAAGCTTCACGCAAACCTTGATGCAGACACATTGCTCGATTTTCCCATCCATCACAGACAAAACAAAACACAAAGTTAAAAAAAACACTCGTGTAAAAACATGTGTCCACAGCCTAGTGTCACGTGGCAGACTGATACGACAGGCTTGCAGAAGTGTGACCTTGGCCTCCCCTCTCATCTTCCTTCACAGAGGCAGTTACAGAAATAACAGTCTGGGAACTTCTCGATAGCACCTCGTAGGTGCCAAAGAAAACTTAGATAATATGCTGTACAAACTTGTAACATGAATACAAAACTGGAATAAACTATCTATACAACTGATGCATCTCAACATGTGGTCCTCACCCTACTCTAATGAATTATATAGTGATACAAATCAAAAAAGTACTGCAACCCAAACTTACAGACTCCTGAAACCACTAGAATATTAACAAAGTTTAGTGCAGCCATATATTTCTTACCTTCCGGAAATCTAAAGCATCTTGCTTGTCTGTGACAATTTCTCTCAGGTTCACGATGTTCTTATGATTCAGTTGTCGCAAGATCTTTATTTCCCTTACTGCTGTGATGGGAAAACCTTCCTTCTCATTTTCCAGCCTTACTTTCTTCAGTGCTACCAGTTCAACTGGTCAACAAAAAAAGATGGTGTAGAGAACAATTCAGTATACTTAAACATATATTCAAACATTTTCAGCAAAAATCAGTATATCTCTGTTATTAATGTTATATTTTAGCGTCCTGTTGCACTGATTTAAGTCCATGATTTATTTAAACCGTCTTGCAGTGCATACACTCATTTATCTCCTTCTCTCCCTAGCACTACATGTTTCGGCATAATAATGCCATCTTCAGGTGCTTACTTATCCACGCCAAACTAGTTCATTGCATGCCTTGTTCTCATATTAAAATAACTAAAATATGTATCTATCATATACATTGTCAAACGTTAAAAATATTAATAATATTAATGTGACACACACATACCCAGGAGGCCCAACAGTATAACACACGCAGTCACAGGAGCAAGACACAACAAAAGCACAACACACACAAGATAGTGAAGGAGTGCTCCAACAGAGGAGAATGGGCGTGACTGGCGTAGTGAGGTGCGACGTAGCGATGTGGTATCCTGAACAATTTTAATATTTTTAACGTTTGACAATGTATATGATAGATACATATTTTAGTTATTTTAATATGAGAACAAGGCATGCAATGAACTAGTTTGGCGTGGATAAGTAAGCACCTGAAGATGGCATTATTATGCCGAAACATGTAGTGCGAGGGAAAGAAGGAGATAAATGAGTGTATGCACTGCAAGACGGTTTAAATAAATCATGGATATCTCTGTTATGTTTATTACAGGATCCTACCTGATCTCTTATCCTTTGCTTTGTATACTTGGCCGTATGTTCCTTCTCCAATCTGAGCAATTACTTCAAACACCTCCACGCATCGTTCACCCCAGTTTCTACCTCCAGCTGTCAATGATGTAGTATTCCTTGAACCTCGGCGACGCAGAATTTTAGGCCGTTTGAGTTTTGGACGAGGCATGATTCTGTTGCTTGACCTGGGAAGTTTCTCAGGTACTACAACTGGTGGAGGTGGTGTCAAAATTGTGTCTTCATCTGCACTAAGCTCTTCTGACCCAGGAACAACTGACCAAAACAATGTGAACATACAGAAATCTGCATAACACATATACATCTTTTACATTAGTTACACTAAACAATATGATCATGTGCATAGTACTCTTTTTTTTCATATTTGGGAGGTCCTGTGCTCAAATCTTCACCTGGAAACCGGCTATCTTGACTGAGGTTTCTTCATATAGCCCTTCAGCAAATACCACAATTAGTATAGTTAGTGCCTCGTAACTATAGCTGCATGGAAAGGTAAACACTGTTGCGGAGAATGCAAAGCTGTATGCTTCCTGTGGTGATGTTCAGAGCTACTCCCCGAGCAGAAAACATTTCCTACGCAGACCAACTAACAACACAATGTCCTATACACCTGACCACGCTCCAAGGCACTACATTCCAAACTGGTAGTACCCACGCTGACGTAAGCTGATATGACTGCTCCCCCTCCTCTGAGAGAGATGGTATGACCCTTCTACCATGGCTAGAGTTTCGAGGAACTAACAGTAGGCCTACCTTAAATCAGACCATAAACACTCGTATATGTAAGCATACATAAGTGCATACACCTGATGATGGCCGTTTGCGGCCGAAACATGTAGTGTAGAAGAGGGCAAGACAAAAGAACTACAATAAATTGTTGCACTTGGGACGGTGTTTATGTCATATCTCGTGTATATATATATTACTTGTATTAATCATATGCATGGCCATTCAAATAGCCTATTATTACATATGGAGTGGCCTTTCACACTATAGCTCTTATTCCCCACCATTTTCATAAAGTGTTAGAAGATGAACCCACACTGACAGTAAACAACTGTCAAAAGTTAGCTACATGATACATCCTTCCTTAACATCCGGTGGCGATGTTGGGCCTGGCAACAGTCACATACGTTCCAGTGTCCACGGTCACGAGGCATGATCTGTCACAAACCCAGCCCTGTTTGACCAGGCTAGGGTCTGCCCATTCCATGACAGCGCATCATCATGGGGTCTTAATGTGTATGATGGCGTTCCCCTTATTCCGCTGGCACTTGCTCATTTCCCGATGGTTGGCCAGCCCTCCTGTATGCCTCTGGTGTTTCTCAGTTGCCATTTGGACCTTCATGCCAGTTCCCAGGTGTCCCTCCGAGGTAGTTCATCCTATTTCCCGCATTGGTCATTTCCTGCCTCCCACCTGTAGGGTATGAGTTAACCTGGAAGTGGCCTGGCTCCCCACAACTCCAGCATGTTGTCTTTGGTCTCTTCTCCCGGTTGGGGGCAATCAGCTCCCCCAGACTGTCAATGATCTCGTTTTTTGGGGCCTGGCTGCTAGGAGGATGGCCTGCAGCTTGAGGGCCTACTTGAGAGCCTCATTCACCATTTTCTCTCCTCCCAGCAGCAGCTGGATATTTATAGCTGGGTCTTCTACCCCGTCTGCAAACACACTGCCTGCCTACCTCCTTATTTTGTCCCCAGGTAGTGCAGGGTACACGTGGTGGACCAGCTGTTCGAAGGTTGTGGTAAATTCTTGCAATAATTCTCCAACACCCTGGATCCCCACTTTTAGCTGACTGCGATACGCAGTAGCAAGTTGCTGGTCCCAAAAGCAGTCCTCCAGGGCCTCAAAGGTTTCTTCATACGTTGTTCCTTTTCTTACTCCGTGTAGCACACTGGTGGCCCGGCCTTGCAGGGTGGTGATCAAGTATGTGGACTTCTCCAAGCGCATGCAGCAGTTGTGCTCTGCTACTTTCTCGAATTGGAGCCAGAACACAGACTGTGATAAAATCCCATCGAACTTGGGTGGCTACACCTAATCAGGGCCTTCATTGACTGTGTCTCAACCCTGAATATGAGGCCAAGCTCTTTGTGAGTCCTTCCTCTGGTCTGCTAGGGTTTTCTGGAGGCTCTTCGTCAGTGTATCGAGGGACATCTTTACTGTCTGTAAGTCCACCATCAATCTTCTCATTGAGTTCCTTGTAGAGGACCTATGTCTGTTGGTCAACACATGAAATCCTCCCCCCCCCCAGCGTCTGATGGTCCTTTCTAACTCGGACCAGATGGACTGTACTGCGGCCTCTGTTTCTTCTTGACTGCACTTTGTCATGGCCTCCATCCTATACTGGACAGTACTTACTCTGGCTCTCATCTCTTCTTCATTAACATGAATCCAGGAGGTGAGTGAAGCCACCTGGTACTTCATCTCCTCTTAGCCATCATATATCTTGCCTTCCACCCTTTCTTCGTTAGTTTTCACTTCTTTATCAATGACTCCACCTTGGCTTCCATTCTTTCCTCCATGGCATTCATTCCGGCTAGCAGCTGTGCCAGTATATGTTATATCTTTGTAGTGTGGCAATATAACTACACAATGTAATGTTCAATCCAATTCCACTTCTGCAGCCAGTTGTCACTATTTTATGGTGGGTGACTACAGATGGGGTTTGGATTGGTAACTGGATTTACTGAACACTTATACACACAACTCGTAACTACAAGTAACTGTGGCACTATTGCTAATTCACACTCTGCAATTCACTACAGCACACATTTAAGTCTTCTCAGCCTGTCTACACCAGTCGCTGCCTGATAATGGCTTCCAGCGATGGACATTCCCATCCTTTGGGTTCCCAAACTGTTCCCATGCCTCAACTATCAGCTTCTAACAGCAACAGCTCACAAGGACTGCACCACAGCAGTCCTCCGACTAACTCACTCTCACTCAGTCATAATACAAATCACTCCACTCCACCGACTGACTGACTGAACTCTAGATTTGTCCTGCTTATAACATCTCAGCATGAAAGGTATAGAAAACATTGTTCTTCTACTGTATTCACACATGATGCAATTCCCACATGATCACTACTCAGCCACTGCCTAGCAATGGCCATTAACAGAACCATTACTTAGCAGTGGATGTTGTACAGCCACTTATTTCATGGTTGTTGCCTAGCAATGAGTCTATATGCCAAAATAATATACTGTTGGGAATTTAATTGAAATTCAGTGAAAACAATTTCTCGCAGACCCTGCTGCATTGATTTAGTTATGCCTTTAGTATAATAGCCCAAATCCTAAGTGAATTAAAATATAAATTTTTAACCAATTTTAACCCTTGACTGCCATGCACCCCCAATGAACTACCACCCAGAAATTCCAAGGTTGCTTGTGGGTAAATGCAGTTCCACAGAAAATCCAACAATACTTCCTCAAATAACTTTCAAATGCCTGCAGATGTGGTCATGTGAAAGTCTCTCCTCTCCTCCAGGCATTTGTATGTCACTTTTGATGATTATATTGACAGAAAAGCTGGTCTAAGATACTAATTGGCCAATCTCTTCAGCTGTGGCAGTTTCAATACAAGTACCTTAAGCTGATCTAATCAGTATAAGGCATGTAAAATGGCTGAATCTGGAAGAGTTTCTTTACTTATTATAATTATACTAAAACACTCACCTGGTGGCATAGGAAGATCCCTGATCCCTTTCCTTGGCGGAGTTTTATGTTTGTTGATGACTGGCTCAGGGCTAGGTGAGCGACTCGGAGGTGAATCAATACTCTCAAAGTCACTTTGTCGAATCCCAGGAGGCATTGGCAGCTTTGTTAAGCTTTTTGGTTTCAATACTGATGGTGTAACTTCTGCTACGGTAGGCTTGCTTACTTCAATCTCAACAATATTAACTGGTTTTGGTTTAATGAGAACAGGTTCACTAACAGATGTTTTTACTTCTGGGGGTTCTGGATCTATATGTATCACATCAGGAGCACTATTTGATAATGAGGCATCATTAGAGTTTTCATGAACAGGAGATATGTCCATACTATTATCAGGTATAGTAATAATGGTCCTGGGTGGAGTAATTTTCACAGCTGTCTGCTGTCCTGACCCCATCGCCATTATTGAACTACTAACTGGAGTTGACACTGATGATAGATTTGGATAGCTGGAAGGTGGTGGTGCAGTAACTTGAAGCTGATGTGTTGGTATGATGGCAGAAGACACTGGTATTACACTGCTTGGAACCTGCTGCAGGACAGGAGGAACTTGAGTGTTTGGCACTACTACTGCTGCTGCCACTGCTGCTGGAGGGGGGTATATAAAATTTGCTGGTGTTGGCACTGATGTATAGCCAGCTTGACTTGACTGCACAGTGTCACTACAAGGTATTGGAATATTGTTCACATCAGAAGGTGTAATATATGTGCTCTGACCAATATCCACCGGAACTACTTGTGAAGGTTCTGTGCTAGTTACTTCTTTCACAGGTGTACACTCCTCTGGTTCACTGTCTTTATTTTCTTTCTTCTTTTCTTTGATGGCTGCCAAACGTTTCATTGCCAGTTCTCTCATATTTTTATCTTTCACCAATTCTGCAAACAAACTTGTCTCACTCATTTTAGCAAGGCCAAGATCTTTGACTTTTGGAGCATGTGAAGATGAGATAGGGCTCCTAGGAGAATGAGGACTCCTCACAGGACTTCTTGAGCGTAATCTGGAGTGTTTGTTCGGTGGAGTTCTTGGACTATGAGACCTCAATGCCTTTGGGGTTCGTGAACGCTGCCTTGAAGATGGGCTGCGAGATCTTGGTCTCAGTAGAGGACTGCGGGTGCGAGCACGTTTTAATGCCTTAGGGCGACTACGACTGCGACTGCGAACACGTGATGTGGGACCACGCACCACAGTGTAGCTTGGTGACCGACTCCAACGCCTGCTGTTACGAGACATGTGTGGGGATCGTGATCGAGACCTGGATGGTCGGCGCCAGCGCTGAATACTACGACTACGTGAACGAGTCAAAGAGCGTGGCTCTATGCGACGTATTCTGTAACATGAAATTAATAAAATATTATTACCTTGCTCTGTTCCTGTCACTATAATACAAAATATATATAGTTCATTTGATATATTTTACCTCAGCTTCCTGTGCCTTTCTTTAAGTGGAATAAAATGTTTTTGAACTCATTTTCAATGACCAAAATGATAAAGGGGAAAAGGTTGAGTGAGACTTGGGGTATAGCTCTTTGAATTTTCAATATGCCCACAGTCACACTTGTTATTAGCACACAATGAATTAAATAATGGTCATGTTCTAACTACAAGGTGTAATTTAACATTACACCTGTTCCCCACAGCTAAGGAAGTATTCTTGATTTGCTTGCTGAAGACTTCATCTAACGTATCAACGGAATTGTTTTGTGCCCTTGCATCATCTTGCATAAAATGCCTGTACAATTTTTCTTCAGTCATGTGAACAAAGAAGGGGGACTGATTCAATCTTTCATAATGTTCAGAATGCATCGTTTCATGAAAACATGGCCTCAATTATCCCTTGTTCACTAACTGCACACCAGACTCCAACCTTTAAATCATGAAATGGCACTTCATAAACAGCATAAGGATTTTCTGCCCTCCAGTATCTGCTATTTTGAGTCTAAAGTGAAGCATGCCTTATCAGAATAAGATATAATTTCTGGGTCAAGAAATCCACTGAATACTAATTCATGAAACCATCTTCAGTACTGAATTCTTGCATTGCAGTCTGGAGGCAAAATACTATGTATGACTGTAACTCTAATAACTTTGTACCATGATGAACTGTACATATTTCCAATCTACACTGAACAGCCAAAATATAAGCTTCTCTAGACTTATCTTCAATACAGTACCAAAGTCTTCAAATATTCCTTCAGCAGTACAGCCTTTTTTGAGATTTACTTTTGTCCAGCACTGATCCCATAGAACATAATTTAGTCACAATATTCTAAATCACTGATTTATAGGCCACTGTACTGTCAGGATACTTCCTACAAAATTTTCAACAGCACATCCCTCATGAAGAATGCTGTGCAAAAGGCAACATATATTAATATTTCTGTTCAACAGTAATATGAATTTTTGAACACCATATTTCACAACACCATGAACTGTATTTGTATGTACCTCAAGGTCAACTAACCATGCTATTGAGATATGCCAGCAGGTGACAAAGCAAAGCTCAGCAGTGAATAAGCATGGGTGAAAAAATTTCTAGCCAGTTAGTCTATAGAAAAACTGAACTCCTTGTATCACCACATTTGTTTACTCAACACCAGCATTTGCAACAGCTTTAATCTGTGTAACAGAGGTACAAAATAAAGGGACTATGAATGTTATCCTTTCCTTCATGCACTCAACCACACACACAAAAAGGTATGGTCCTTCATTTTGCAGTTCAACTGTCGGATGGCCATATTCTGACATGCAAAGAGCAGAGACAGCAGCAATGTGCAATTGGTAGGTCACATCACAAAATCATTA